CTGACCAGATTCACAACACCATGGCTTAACAAAGATTCCCTTACTCATTCACCTGTCTTCCTCACCAAGCTGCATAACACATACACTCTTCCTCACCAAGCTACATGACACATACACTCTTCCTCACCAAGCTACATGACACATACACTCTTCCTCACCAAGCTACATGACGCATACACTCTTCCTCACCAAGCTACATGACGCATACACTCTTCCTCACCAAGCAAGATGACACATATACTATTCCTTACCAAACTACATGACACTTACAGTTTCCTGCTCACTTTCTCTTTTGCTTCTTTTTTCTCACACATACACATGAAGAAATCACATTTTTTTTCATCTTAATAAACAACTACAGACAAGGACTGCAAAAACATTCAAATGTGCTACAAAAAATTTAGTTGTGAAAACAAGAAAATAAAAATATTTTATATTTAAAAAACCTTTCTTGCCTTTTTCTCTGTTGTGGGTTGATTCAGATCTGCAATAAACCTTCAGGAGCTTCAGATTCTGGAAATGGTTTTAGAAAGACTGTTCTTTCAAACTGTTTCCTTTGCAGAAAATCTGTCTTGATATCAAATGATATGTCCACCTTAAAGCTGCAATAATGGTCAGGATAATTTATCAGATCCTTTATCAGAGGCATATTGGCAATTTTTAGCCAAATGAATGGAGGTTTTGCCATCAAGTCCAAGAGGATTTTATTTCTTGGTTTTATTCTTCTGATAGTACAACCTCTACTTCCCCTATTTGATCTATGACCTCAACAGGTATTGCCTCTCCATCTTCTACCATGATAACATTGTTTCTTGCTTTCCTTACTAGAAATGGTCCCTCATGGGAGAAGTGTTCGACTATGAATTTCATTTATAACCTTAAGAACCATTATCCAGAGTAAGAATTGCATCTATAACATACTCTGCATTTGTTCATATATTAATGAGTTATAGACAATATAACAATCATGTCTACTCAGTAGTCTTTACTTTTTCTGTCCCTTGCAGAACTTAGGTAAAATTTTATTTAACCTTCTTCAATTTGAAACAAATTCACTATATCTTAAAGTAGTCTATGATTTGAGGTCTGTTACTATATTTTTTCACAAGTCATCTATACATTATGGGAAATGGCAACATGTAAATTCTTGTTGTGTCACAAGCAAATGTTGCACAATTGTTAACATTTTTCAGCAAATTCCTCGGTTACAATTTACATTTTCATTTAGTCCCATTTGGCAGTGATACTTCCATTTGAAATGAGTTGTTCCCAGTAAACACCATTAACAAAAAAAAAAAAAAAACTTTTTTCTGGTTTTGACATGGTTATAATATTAGCATCCTTGTCTAACTCTTACTTCATAATAGTCGGTTATAATACATCACATTTCATCCACACACAGCCTACTTTGGGAATATCACATACACCCTTGTGCAAATTAATTGAAACAACCGCTTTAGTATCCATTCTTTCACCCTTCGGACAGTTTTAGACCCACTGGAGTGACAATGTGTAATCGATTTCTATTTTTACCACAGATTAGGTCATTTGCATTGGTATGCAGTAATATGAATCTATTTTCAGGGTGTATGATGAAATTTGTTTGGCCTTGATAAATATTGCATCATCCATGATTGCCTCAGATTTTCATCATGCCCAGACACTATTGTCTTGACTGTTGATTAGTTGTCATACTGCCATTGTCTGTGATGGACGTTATTCTAAGGAAGTGTACAAGAATTTTAATGCTTCATGAACACACTGACATGCCTTATCAGTGCCAAAACGTTGTAATAAATATGGTGACAAAGATGAGGACAATAGTCCGAATAAAGTAAATAATGTACATAATACTTCATCTCAGAAATATAGACAGATACTGAAGGGCTGAAACGTAATAAATATGGCAACAAAGATGAGGACAATAGTCTGAATGATGTAAATAATGTAAAAAACGTAGATGTTTGTCTGATAAATGCAAGTAATAATAACATAATCATCTTCCAGGATTTCACATTAAATATATAATAAAAAAATATTGACTGCAATTCATGGTTTTAAACAAATCTCCTTAAATAAAGTGTTTGCCTGTGCTGTCAACTAGATTTAATTTCTGTGATGTGGAAATGGAAATTTTTTATTAGGATTTCATTTTTGACGCCTTGATATTGTAAAAAAAAGCCATCTTGGATAAAAGAAAACATTGAAACTCTTTACATTGGGGATAATCATTGTTCCAAAACCTAGAAAATTTTATTGTTTTCAAAACTAAATTATTTCCTAAAAAAATTGAATTATTCTGAATTTGATAAAATATAGCCACTTTAGTCAGACTTTCTTTTTGCCAGAATCCAAATTGAACATTTCAAAACTCTAAAAATAAATTGACCTCATTCCTTTTTTTTTCTTCGACATCAACAGAAATATCAGAATTTGAAAGTTTGTAGGGCATATATTTTTTATTTTTTAATTTCATTCTTTCAAAGCTTCTAGTATCAGCCTTAAGTATGAAAAAAGGTCGTCTTATATTCCATCTATTCATATTTTGAAATATCTAACGAAATGCTTCTCGGTCTAAAAAAAATTAATAAACAAATATAAATGAAGCCATATTTGGTTTATTATTCATGAGAAATCTATAAAATTCTTTGGTTGAATCTTTTGCTGAAGGAAAATTTTTGTCTTTATTATAAAAATATTGACTACAACAAAGAAAAAAGCCCTTATCGCATAATGAAGTTGTTGAAGATTGAACAATTATAGCAATGTTTGTTACAATATTTTAGCTTCATTTCCTGATTTATGAAAATTGGAATACTACGTCATGCAACATGTCTGCTCAATGTTTAATGATTTTTCTTTATTCTAAAATCAGGAACATACAATTTCAGTTTTTTATATACCTACCACCCTGGGATCAAAATATACATGAATTTTTGGTATCTGCTTATATTTCTGAGATGAGGTATTATGTACATTATTTACATTATTCAGACTACTGTACTCATCTTTGTTGCCATATTTATTACAACCTTTTGGCCAATGTACGCTCTGGCCTTCTTCAGGTGGTTGGAATGTCGAACTTAACCCTTTATTTCTCTCACTGGGGTAGACTGTTCTGGTTCCACGTGCCATGTTTAATGAATGTCAGTTATCAGTTATCTCCTGTTAATTTCCCTCTGAAAGTTCTCCACTGCCTTAACCGGGTATTGAACTCACATTCTTTTGGGTCCTGTCGCTGGATCTAACCAACGCTTTTATCCACTGTGCATTTCTGGGGTAACAATTTTTTTCTTCAAAAAATTAACTCTTTGGGATCCATTCTTTTACATTGTGGAAGGTTGAGAGGTTGAAAATTTTGAATTTGTAAAAATATTCAATTTGTAATGGCCGGTGGTAGATGGACCAATACTATTTATATTAATGATATTTCCAACATACAGGATTCAAATAAACAACAATTAACTCCAAATTGTTAATCAACAAATATATATTGAAATAACATACAAGGACAAACATGCAATAAAATTGTGTTCAATGCATGGATTAAGGGAAAGAAGTTGTTCCCCTTTAATTGTAGATTGATTTGTAATTAATTGTTCAAAGAAAGTTCTCTTGAGAGAAAAATGTTCAGAAATCATAAGAGCAAAGTTTGAATGTTAAGAATAAATAACACAAGAATACAATTAATTAAAATGTGTTGTGTTATAGAATGTTTTGAATCAACAGTTCTGATTGATTGTACTTGGCAAAGTCACAGAGAAATGTAAGTTTATATTACGAAATTCTGTGTCTGTGTGTGCGTTGAGCAAGATCGTGGATTTGTGTTGATGGCTGAAATCTTACGAGATCTTACTAACGACTTGTGAAAAGTCACCCCTTTTAAGAAAAATGGGTAGGCTCCCACAGAAATGCGAGAAAACTTAATCTTGCATTAAAAAATATGTGATTGGTTAAAAATTAACCAATCACTACACTCGTACAGAACAGCAAGCTCAAAACCAAAGGATTCAAAGAAACGACTGCAATGGCTAAATTGTCCTATATAAAGGTAGTAGTGATTTATTAGCCAATTGCAGGCAAATAAAATGTGGGCGTGGAAAAATCATAGCAACTGCTACAAATTCATTCACAAAGAGAAAGGAAAAGAAAAAAAAAAAAGAAAAAAATCCCAAATTTTTATATTTCAGAAATTGTTGAGGTATTTTATAAAAATTATTTTATTCTTTACAAGTCTATTTTCTTCTTCTTTCATGACAAGGAATAGGCTAGAGACAAGAAGATTTTGTAATAATTTTGATTTGGACTGTTCATCCAGCTGCTACTCTTACCGACTATTTGATGTTTTCCTTTTATTTATACCTTATCATGCAAATATAATATTAGGCACAAAAATGCATGAATAGTTAACAGGAAAATGATCAGCTCTATTTGAAAATGTATTACCTGAAGGATATAAACTTTCTAATAACTTAATAATTACACATGCTTATAAGCTGAAATTTAATCAGATAAATAATTTGGTAGATGTTTTAAATGCTGTGTAATTTTTATCTTTCTCCATAAATTATAAGTTAATTAAATTTTATTTTAATTTTGTATCCATTCAGTTGGGCTATTGTATCTTATTAATAATTTTCATTAAAATGATGCTTTTTTTGTTGTTGTCTGAAACTAATTAATTAATAGAATATATTCTCACAATGTGTCAGTTGCAATGCAAATTTGTATAATTTGTTTATTTTACATCTTAATTTCTATACATTTTTTTAAGTTTTTCTTTACAAACACTACAATTTTCATTTTGTGCTACTCTATCGTTTTTTTTTTTTACCCGTCTGGGTACTAAAGAAAATAGTGGGAAAGAACAGAAATCTGTGTGCTTAGAGATAAAATGGTAGAGTATTAAAATACATCTGCCAGGCTGATATGCACACTTGAAAAGTGAGCTGAAAATTTAGCCCATAATGCTTCAAATACTTTTTTGAGAACAAAAGGTTTATGGCCATATCATATCGAAACACCAGTTTCCATACAATCACCAAAGTTAAGCAACATTACGACTGGATAGTACCTAGATTGGTGACCAGTGGGGAATACCAGCTGTAAGCTTGGATGTGCAGTTGATGTAATAGATAATGGCTCAGAATCATTAATCAGAGAGCCAAGTTCCAATTTCATTTGGGTTCATTATATTCACTTACATGCAATTACCCTTGGGAAAAGTATGAACCTTCTTCTTCTCCCCTAGCTATGGGTTAATTAGTAAGACTTGTATCACTAAAACCATTATCTCAAAAAAATAATTCTTACAATTTAAATTTTTTTTCTGGCTTTAAATAACCTGCAAAGGGTTAATAGACCACAAAAAAATGAATCAATCGATCTTTTGAAAAATTTTACAAAATGTCAACTATTTGTGAAGGGATTTACATATAATTATTATTGAGTGGTATATATTTCATATGAAAATAGGCTAAAAGATTTTTTATAATCATTTCACCTCAAGCAAAGTAAGAAAGCCACTAAAATGCAAAGGGTTTACTGAGTATGAAAGAATATGAGAAAAAGAAAACATCATTAAGGAGAGAGAACAATAAAAGAATAGGAATTAAGAAGATAGACAATAACGATTGACATTGCATTTCATTTTTTAAAGATCAAAATTGACTGGAAAGCAAGAAACCAGAAAAGAGTTCCGTCAAGGAGAAATGTGAGAGAAGAAACTGTCAGGAAATAACTTATAGTTACATCTAGCCTTTTCAACTGTAAAATGATGAGACCTAGCCGCCAATTTAGTACTGACCTTAAATTCATAAAGTCCGGGTACAAAAGTGGAAAGCTCGGCAATTACCATGAAAATATTTATAGAAAAGGTCCAGAGAAGCTATGTTATGGTGGGTGGAAAGTGACTGAAGACGAGATGCCAGGACATGACTAATAACATTGCAGATCCCTCTTTGTATTTTATCTAGAATCTCTAAATACAGAGCAGAAACACCAAACCCAGATATAATAGCAATATTCAATACATGGTTTGTTGAATATTCAATGATTTATTTTTATTTTAGTGTTGCATACAAAGATTGTTTCATGAGTTACCAGTTTTGTGAAAAGCATATTTACCTGTTGGATAATTACACAAGGGGGCTTGAATAATTAGTCATATTTTAATTAATACCTTAATGGATTATCAGAAAGATAGGCATTTTTGTAATATTTTATTCTTTACGGAACAACATATATTAACTTGGTATTTACCCAAACTCCCCACAGATCGGGATGTGGCACAAGGCAGGTTTAATGTGGGTTTTTCCAAGCCCGTAGGCCCAGGCAAAAATTTTCCATAGACCTCGTAATAAAAGTGTTGGGTTTGTCTACCTCCTCAGATGAGACTGCCCTTTGGCATAGCCTCGTGTGGGTTACTCTCTGCCCAAAGGCAGTTAATTCGACAAGCACTAAGAGTTTAGCATGTAGCTAAGACCTTATACTGATTCACAACTCTATAAGTGTGTGATCTCTCAAAACAATGATTTTGTAAGTGTAGCTTAGATGTGGCACAAGTCCAAAAGCATGGGGTTAATTGTTCTAGCAAGACAAGCTTGCTAACCATTACACCATGCTGAGATGCCCAAATAACTTTTTAAAAATCAAAGATATATTGATGTCTTGTCACATTTAAGAGCAAGAATGTTTCTATGCTGAACTTCTCACACTTGGAAGCATCAATTTGAGAGATTTACAATTTTAGCTATTTCTGACACGTGGAGAAAGTCAATATGCATATGTACTCAAGTGAGATTGACTTGTGAGAGAAATATTGCACAAATTATCGCATTGTAGTAGTTGAGTTAGTCTCTGTTGTTGCTGCTGGTTTCATTGCTGGCCAAAGACATCACCATTGATGGAAGTGCTTTGGTGTTTCTGCTAATGCCGGCCAGTTCAGATCTCCTTTCATGGGTGAAATTAGTGTTGGCTTTATAATGAGTCAGTGGCTCAGAAACAGATGCTGTAAAAATTGCAATGGCCTTTTTCCTGATTGGTCAGAAAAGGTGTTTTATGATCTTGGTATTACTTTCCAGAAAATTCAAATTAATGATTTTATTTATGAGTACTGTACTCATGCTGTACTTAATAATAATATGACAGGTTACTACTCATTTCAGAGAATACCTGTCTGCTAGGGCTGTTAGTCAAATCCTATTACAGGCGCTTGCTCATTCCACAGAGCCCACCCGTTGTTTATACTGCAACTATACTGAACAGATTTTAGTTACAGTTTCTAAGAGAGAGCATATAATTTGGCATGAGCAATTTCTTGGATAAGGCTATTACACTTAAATCCTTGATCACAACCACTTGTGACCTCACGCAAGCACAACCATTGACAACTACCAAATGGTTTTGTCTAGCTAGTTTCACTCACAAAACTCGTATGGTTTTCAGGATCTTTTTCAAAGGAACCGCATGCTGGGTGTATCCTCCCAATCAGACAATGACATCAAGAAGTTGTCTAAACAAATTGATCATGGTGAGATTCAAAAATTGGGTCACATGGTCAGAAAATGAATGTTCTAACCACTTAGCCACATGTCATCAATAATAATAATAATAATAATATAGTCATAATTGCCTATGTCCGGAAGCGATATAGCACATAAAAATAGTCACAAACAGATCTGAAGTAAGCTTGTCATAGAGGAGAGGCCTTTCAGTCAGAGAGGCTTCAAATAAGAATTTGTATGCTAAAATTAATTCACATCATTTTCGCTGTGTCAGATGTTTTGTGGTGCCCTGCTTATGAGATATAAAATGAGGACTTTGAACCAATTTTGATTTTAGTAAGTCAAAACCTACTGAAAATAGATAAATATGAGACTTTGCAGCAGGTCATAGTCAGTCAACTCATAAAAACACCCTGCTCTCTTATCTATACAAATTTATGCCAAGCCACTCTCTTCTCCAAAGAGGGATGTGACACTACATGCCAGCTTCTCTAAATCATTGAGCTTATACATCCTTTTCTCCTGTCATGAATAATGGCATTTGAAATGGATGAATGTTGTATCAGGTATATTTACCCAAGCTCCTAAGGTAGGATGGGACACAAGGTCGTTTTAATTTAGGGAGCGCCATACAAATACGTATGCATATGGGCCAAGGACAAAAATTGATTTTTGCCCTGACTTGTGACCACTGTCTTGCTGGCATCAGTGTTACACCGATCCAACCTCTTTAGTACAATAAGGAAGGTTCTGCCGCAGGGGTTGGAATCCCCAGGGCTGAGCAACTTCTCCCATCTAAAATGAGGAGAAACATAGTTCCACTTACAGCACACGAACAATAACCAGACCTCATAAAATTCTCATAAACTTTGTATCAGGTACATGTCAATTTCGATGACAAATGTTTCAGATAAAATTAAAATTTACAAAAATCTTTGCTATAAACATATAAATAAATTAAAATTAATTTTTTATCACTGTTATAGGAAATGTGTTTCACTGTTTAGCATATTAATTCTAACTGACAAATTACCTTTGCTACAATATAGTCATATTAGCAGTGCTGCTTTATTTACAAATACATTTTGAATTACGTTTGTGTGACACAAGGGGAGTAACTCTTTTCATTTATTAAACTCAAATGATTAATCATATGACGACAAATTTTGTCATGAGACTTTATTGGATTTTCTGCTTAGAGTATATTATTTTCTTTATAAGGTTACCAACGCCACTTTTTATGGAATTTTAACCAGAAATGATTAATAAAAATAATCTATAAATAAATAGTAAATTCGTTTTTAAACCCATATATATATATAATGTTGACACTACAGATACAGTGCTCAATATACGGTATAAAAAATATATACAAAAATAGAGCAAACATAAAATATATAAAAATCAGTGTTTAAATGTCAGTATCATCTGCAACTAAAAGTTTCATGTGGGCAGAAAGGTGGTAATGTTACTGTCACACAATCCTCAGGTGGTAAAAAAGTAATCTAATACTAATACTTTTATCAGTAGTATATTACTTTTTACTGCCTGTGGCTTGTGTAACATCTTTAGTCACAGATGGTGGCGATATTTAAGTACTGTTTCTCATATATATATATATATATATGCACATTTCAATTACCTCCCACCACCAACACATTTATAATACCCTTGCTTTTCTTCTCCTTCCTTCTTCACATCCTTCTCCTCCCTTTCTATCATACCCAACATTGTGCGTTTGTTTATTTATATTTTAAATATAACGTTCATTAGTTTGTTTTTTTTTGTTTTTTTTTTTAAATAAAGCATTGGAAGGTCAATTGATAAAAATCACCTGAGGATACCATAAGGTTGAAACCAATGGAATCAACTGATCTCCTAATTTTTAAAGTTTATATATATATATATATATATATATATATATATATATATATATATATATATATATTACAGTGTGCAGCTTTATATTATATCATAAAGAAGTAATTTATACAAAGAATTAATTAGCATTGTTAATGAGATTAATGGCAAAATCACTTCAATAACAACACTTAATGAGACATTAACTTATTATCAATTCCTTGAATAATACAATCCTTATATTTGAGTTGTTGTAAGATGGAATTGACAAGCCAATTACTTTCGACATTTTCAAATTGTCATCTTCTGGGTGGAATTTTTTTTCCATATACAGGCAAAACACCAAGAAAAAATATGTATAGTGTCGACTGAAAAATGTTTAACATTGGATTAAACTTAAGTCTATGCCACTTTAACTGAAAAACATATATATCAACAAAATTTTGTGGATTTATCACATTACAAAATTCAAACAAAATTCTCACTTTATTGATTTGAACAAAAACTCTAGCATTGTGGCATCGCATGTTCCAACATAATATAACTGTCAATAAATGGCATATTTTAAAAAACATCCTTTGGTTTACACTACACATATTTCGTCTTGACATTTTGCTTGTATATTGAAAAAATTGAGCCCTAAAGATGACAATTTGAAATTCTCAAAACAAAAACTAGTACTAGGCTCATCAATTCCATCTGACAAGAACTCTAATATAAGGATCATATTATTCAAGGAAT